AAAATTCAAGCCATATCCTCCACTTTGAGATGATGCAAATTCTCCATTCTCATGATTGTGGGTGGTAAATATGCTTTTCACACGGACAATGACAATGATGTCTTATCTCATAAAAATTTACCAACACACTTACATTTTAAATTTTTTAAAGAGGAACTACGTGTACCCTGATCCCCTATTGCATGAAAAGATGGTACGTAGGCACTAAAAGTTCGCAACCGTGGCGGGTGCAAAAATCATAAAAAATATATTTCTTTTCTCACCTCCACCATATATTTTTATACAATATTTTTTATAGCTAACATACACGGATTTTTACAAAGAGGTTCCTGCGGAGTACCGTAGATGTTTAGGGTGCTAATACCTTCCCTTTACATAACCAACCCCTTACCTTGAATCTTTCCCCCTCTTTTGGGTTATTTACTCTTTTCCCATTCCTTTGGAAACAATAAAGCGCGGTGGCAATTTTTATTTTGATCTGTATAAGTCTAGTCAATCCCAATGGCTTAGTCTTAAACATTTCTACTGCTACACGTCTTCTGCAATTTTCTACTAAGTCTTGACGTGATTAGAAGAAGATAAAATGTCATAAGAATCTGATAGTGACCTATCAAAGTTTCTTGATCCTTGAGCTTTGACTTGCTTCAGGTTATGAGTCTTCAGAAGATGATTCTTCAAAAGTTGACATCACTCAGAATTTGGGACTTAATATTCTGATCCTTGACCAGGTTGAGAGTCTGAGTTTTTATGTTCTGATCCTTAAGAGGTTGACTTTTTTCAGAAGTTAACCTCCTTCAGAAGCTGATTCTTCAAAGTATGATCTTCAAAATCTGCATCTTAAGGCTTCTCTTTGGATGTTCAATGCAGTGTAGGAACTGACCTTGTGTTTGGATTTTTATCTATGTTCGTGCACACTTGAATAAAAGTTAGTATACCAATCTTTAAATATTTTGTTATCATAAAAACCTAAGGGATATGGTAAAAACCAATTTTGTTTCAATATCTTTGTGCCCTAATTCACGAAATTCATAGTCCAATCTCATACCATTTTCAAATATCCAACCCTTCAGGCTTTTATTTAAGCCTCCAACAGCCATAACCACGTTGGTGAAGCAGTTAATGTATTCATGCATGGTTTCTTTATTACATTGTGTGATTATGCTAAGCACAACCATAATAGTTAATTGCCTCTTCCTGACGGTGAAGTGGGTGGTAAAGACTTCACACACGCCATTCCAAGAGTCTATACTTCCAAATAGAGTGGATTTGTACCACGTCAAGGCTAATATGGTCAGGGCTAGAGCAAATAGCTTGCACTTAACAATCCTCCAACATGATAATAGTCTAAGCAATCATATACATGCTCAATATGTTCATCTAGATCTTTGGTATGTCGTAATTCAAGAACTCGGGCGATTTCTTCAGTGACTTTGGGAATCTATTATTTAGGATAAGAGCGGATAATGAATTTTTCTTCCGCGTATGGTCGAGAGCATATTTCTCATATATTTCCCTCCTCCGAGGACAATGATCTTCACGAGGAGTATGACCACCTCATCCTTCTTCAAGATTAAGGGAAAAAGTCTAGTTTCTGTGTCGTCGACGACTTGGGGACTTCTAAAATTCTTTTTGGTTTAAGGATATCGATTTAGTTCTTATGTGAAATCGCCTCTTGAATATTTTTGTTCTTTAGATTGGTATGGTGTAAGCTTTCTTTAATCCAAAATAATTTCTCTGCTATAGCCTGAGAGTTCTCTTGCAGCACCGTTTGGTAAACACTATTTATCAGGTCATTGGCTCCTTGCACTACGAGTTTAGCTTACAATAGTTAAAGGTCGATAAACATTTCTTGTCCATGCATTATTGAAAAAGGTGGATGGCTAAATGGATGTTTGCATTGGTGAAACTACGATGTAGATCCAAGGAGCAGAGGAGGTTGAAACACTCCATAACTTACCCTAGGTTGAATAGGTTCTCGTGGCGAGGGCACAAATGAAGCAATCATTAGAACTTGTTCGTACATCCCTTGAAGAAGACGTAGAGGATTCCTGGCAATCTCAACAACAACAACTGCATGCCGTTGGACGACAAAGTGAGTAATTTTGGAAGCCGCCATCATTAACAAATTTGATTGAGGATTTGAAGAAGGAAAGTTTGAATTTGACAAAAGTGATTAAGAAATAAAGATATATGCTTTGATCGAAGGAGATTTAGATTTCTAACACAAGGGATTTGATTGAATCATGAGAAGTTTTATATATAATTTTAAAATTTTAAAAAATAAATAAATTTCAAATTTGAATTATGCAATCGATTATCTTGTACTTCAAAATATATTTTATTTTATATATATCCATTAATTTTTACCAAAAAATATAATTTCAACCATAAGCTAATAGCTATAAACTAGTACTCTTAATAAAAAAAGAAAAAGAAAGAGTACGGTGCATATTCGATACGAGACGCAAGGGTTTGATTTCTGCTCGAGCATCTCATACTTCTCTCATCTCATTTCTCTCCGAGGCTTTGGGTTTTACTCTTTCCTTCGAGGTACTTTCTCTTTCTCTTTTGCTTTCCATTACTGCACTTTTTCTTCTTCTCTGTGTTTGCTTTGTTTTCAGATGCATAAATTGGTTTATTAAGGAGCGTTGAAATCTTAATAAATTTGATGAATTTGACTAATTTATTGGTGACCCTTTTCATCAAAACCGTTAAATTTTCGATTTTTTCATCTGGGTATCACGGCATCTCATTCTATAATGGAATCCTTATTTTTGTGTTTTTTTCTTCTGCAAGTTCTTGATTCACATGAGTTTAAGTTAACAAATTGAATGCTCCTGAAATTATTGTTTTTGTTTTGTTGTAGTTATCGGTGTTGTTTTGAATTTTGTGACGAGAGGAAATACTAGGTTTCTGTGGTATTTTTTTTTTTTTTTTTCATTTTAGGTTTTTTTTATGGATAAGCTGCTATATACCTCAGATCTGTCTTGTGCTAATATTTTCAATTTTTTAAAAATAATTTTTCTGAAGTATTTTAGTGAATGCATGGTTCAGTTTTAGTGAATGTATGGTTGTCTTGTTTTGCAAATCAATAGTACTAACTACTTTACTCAGTTTTGTGATCCATGAAGCATGGAGATCAGTAACATGACACTGCCACGGACATATTGACACCGATATTAATTTGAAAAAATGAATAAATTAAACGTAATTACTAGTGTCAGTGTTCGTTTATGACACTGACACAGACACACATTTTTTCAGTGGTGTAAGTGCTTTAGAGTTTGTGATGCTACATCGTGATTGCATTGTGTCGTGTGAGAATGCTGTTACAAGTTCTCATTCACGTAACATATTTGCGACATGACTGTATTGCTATAGATTTCAGCCATCTTTGCTGCTATGCCGAACTGGAGGATAAAACCCCCATTTCATCAATTTCTGAGTTTTAGAATCGTTTCTTAATGGTTTTGGGATTTCTTTTGTTATTTGATTTGAAAATATCTTAGGGTTTGAAACTCATCTTCCATGATCGTTCAGACAAAGAAAGTTGTCTCTATAACTCTGCTTTCTGGCCTGGCGACACACCGGTTATGGTGTCTTTTTGAAGTGAAAGTGATGTTTTCTGACCATCAGCTTGCAGATCTCGATTTTTCATTTGGTCTCACCGATCAGAACTCTCATTTTCTGGTTATGCTGATTAGAGCGTGGTCGTCGATAATATTTTTTTTCCGTCCAACTTCAAAGCTCCTATTCTTTTAATTTTTATCCGGGATATTCTATTTTTTGGCTATTAATCAGTGTTGTCGATGGCAGTCCATGGCGGAGAGCCAAAATTCCACTATACCGGATGCTTTGCGGCGTCGTTATAGCGGTAAAACCCGCAATATCGACCAATATTTACCATTGTGGCAAGCCTAAAAACCACCATGTATATAAGCTATGGTGCTGCTATTTGATAACGCCGCTATTAATTCCATATATTAACTTCTTTCCTATACTCTCATTGCTCTAAGATATGTGTTGATTCATGATTGTCCCTTTAGACTCTGACTTCTGATTAGTCATTATGACTCTTTTTATTCTTACCTTTTGACATTTGTATTTTGTCATATAAATTATATAGTTTATATCAATGTCGTCTAATAGCGCGGCTATAACATATGGGAATTTGAACAAATCACTATTATTCCGTGATGTTCTATCTAATACAAAATGTTGAATAAAGGCTGCAGCGGCACTACGACATTGTAGCATAGTGGAATTTGAACAAACCGCTATTTTCCGCGAGTGACAACATTGATTTGTATTATAATCTTTGATTTGATATAGTGGTCCACTTTGTTTGCGTATATTTGACTATTCTTTACATGATTCTCCTATGCCTCTTAATTTTATAAACAACTATCTATCATATGTAACTTCATGTAACATTATAATACAATTATTCAAACGCTACTTACGGAAAAGGATAATCAAATCTACATGATAATAATGTTAGTATAGTCACTATGACACTGATATCGTGTGGTGCTCATATTAGAATAACTAAATGCAGATATCATACCAATATCCCGATAACATCTTAGTTTCATGCTTTTTCTCGTCCAAGGGAAAAGAAATATTAGTAATCTTCATTTTCTGATCTGCTTGAAATTTCGAAGTTCGACTCAAGTGTTTTAGTACCTCTATATTTGCATTTATTCTATGTTCTATTGTTTTTTATTTGCTGTCTGTCGTGTTACATTTCGCCGGTTCTCTCTGCGCGTGTTTTCATTTGTATACGCTGTGTTGTGTCAGGGATATACCTTTCAGAGTTTATAACAGTTTCTAACAGCTTTTTTGCGTTCTTATTTGACCTCTGTTGATTCTTTTATCTTACGATTTTTCTTTATCAATCTCAGCCTCCTTTATTGAATCTCGGTCAATTTTAAAGTTTTTCTTTTTTTTCTTTCTCTCTTCTGGCCTTGATGCAGTAACATTTGTTCCACCTGTACACTATGGAGCAAGAAGACGGCAAGAACGGTGCTGAGAATCCTCCACAAGAGTCTTCTCATCCTCAACCATCAGAGAAAGATGATAGCAACAAGGATACAACTGCTCCCGAAGGGTCGAGCGTACCAGAATCGAGTGAGAAGAAAACTCCGAAATCACTGAAGACGAAGTCTAAAATCGTTAAGAAATCTAGGGCTGGAAAGTTGATCAAGGCCGTGAATAAAGGCTCTCCACAGATTGGACTGAAAGCACAAAACAAAAAAGTAGCGGGAAACATTGACGAAGAAGCATCTAAAGAGAAGAGTGAGAAAGCTAAAAATAATAAAGGAAAGGAAATTCAAAATGGGAGCACTAGTGGCAAAAGTCCTAACGGAAAGAGTGAGAAGGCTGAAAATATCGCTAGCGGAAAAAGTCCTATTGGAAAGAGCGAGAAGGATGAAAATAATGAAGAGAAGAAGATTGAAATAGGGAGCGCTAGCGGAAAAAGTCCTATTGGAAAGAGCGAGAAGGATGAAAATGATAAAGAAAAGGAAACTCAAAAAGGGAGCACTAGTCGTAGTTCAAGGAGACGTCGGGGTAGAAGAAACAAGATGGCAAAGTTGGATAACACTGAACAGAAGCCGAAGAATGAAGAGAATCATAAAGAGTTAGACAAAGGTGGCAGGAGTAAAACAAACAAAATCAAAAGCAGTGCTGGTGAAAAACCTGAATCCAGCGAGAAAAATAAAGAAAAAGTTGGCGGTTACATCTTCATGTGCAATGCAAAGACAAAACCCGACTGTTACCGTTATCGAGTCATGGCTGTTCCAGTTGGTAAAAAAGATGTTGTTTTAGGCATAAAGCCTGGGACTAAGCTTTTTCTTTACGATTTTGATCTGAAGCTGTTGTATGGAGTTTACAAAGCATCGTCTTCTGGTGCTATGAAACTCGAACCCCGTGCTTTCGGTGGTAACTTTCCTGCTCAGGTTGCTTCCCCTCGTTTATTTTTTCTATTTAATTTGTCACGGTGTTGTTTTCATTTATTATGATTTACTCGACGATGGTGTGACTTTCAGGTGCGGTTCAGTGTTGCTTCTGATTGTTTCCCTCTGCCCGAGAGCATTTTCAAGAGCGCCATCAAAGAAAACTATAATGACAAGAACAAGTTCAAAACTGAACTTACTGTTCGACAAGTAAGAACCGAACGCTGTCTCTAGTAGGCTAGCTGTCAGTAATGTATTTTATTCTGTCATAGAGGATATTCATTTGTTCTCTTTCAGGTTAGGAGGCTCACTGCACTTTTCCGGCCAGTGGATGTTCATTCAGCCATGCAGCCTGCCCGCTCTCCTCCGAAAGCAATCATTCGAGACAGGGAAGCTCATGATTCTGTTAGGGGATCTCGGCCTCGTGTGCACAGGGAAACACATAACGTGCTGTCTCATGAAAGGAATCCTCGATCTGAGCGGAGAGAAGAAGCTCCTCCGCGTGATTTATTTCTTACTGAAAAGAGTTATCGTGCTTATGGTCTTCTAGGTGTTTCTCAAGCAAATCCTGTACCCGATCCTTACGAGAGGGGTTACGAAAGAGAGCGCCACCGTAACTTGGACCCTCCTATTTACAGGAAAGACGAAAGGGATTACGAAAGAGAGCGCCACGACAACCATCACATGGACCGTCCTATTTATAGGACAGACGAAAGGGATTATGAAAGAGAGCGCCATCATCAATTGGAGCCTCCTATTTATAGGAAAGACGTTGATCCTCTGCGTTTCAACGAGGATGAGCGTCAGACCTATTATCGTGGCACAGCTCCTGATCGCGCGGATGATCCGTATCATCCCTATCGCTACGGAGCTTCTCCACGAGATCCCTATTTGCCACCTGTGAGAAGAGAGGAAATACCTTCAAGGTCTTATTTAGTTGGGGGAGGAGCTTTAATCGGAAATGACAACTTGCGAAGGGGAGAGCCTGTTGCAGATGGTAGGCTTTACTCAACCCATTCTGCTGCTAATGCTTTGTCCGAATATAACCGGATGCAGCGTTACCACGGAGAAGAGCTGGAAGCTACAACCGTGCCAGTTTCATCTCGTTACTCATTCGCGGGTCCTTCATATTCACTTCGCTAAATCACAAGCGTGTTGTAGATTGAATCCGGTCTGTCGAGATAATCTTCTATTCTTAAAATAACTGTACGAGTCCTGCTTACTTTTTCTTAGGTACCTTTAAATTGGTTAAGCATTTTTGCTGTGTACTAGATATATTGTGACACTGCTAGCTTTGGAACTTTTCAATTAATGGTTTATAGCTAGTTGCTATTTGTTGGTTTATTAGCTTTAACCACTTTCACTTTTGTATTGTTCTTGCCTTTGTATGATTGCTTTTGCAAGATCATAGATTGTGTTGTCTACATTGTGTTTTGAGCTTCACTTATGACCAAATTAATATAGATCAAATGTCAATTTTCTAGCAAACTACATATAAGTGGCAATGTGGGAACATCAATCTATTACATATAAATAGGTAGGGATAGGTAGGGGTGATCATGTGTGTGGGTAGATCTACGAAACCGCTGATCCAAACTCAATCAATCCATAAATTACTCGAACTCGCTGATTTAAATTCAACTATTCCATAAATTATTCTAATTCATTTGTTTAGGGGTATATTCAACCCAACTTGCAACGATCTGTATATTTATGGTTGGAGTATCGAGTTTGAATTATTCAACGCCAATACTACTACTAACCAATAAATTACATGATTCTAAGAATAAGTGTTGTTTCTTATCATCTTTTGTATCTATTTTACATATTTTGTGAAAATAACGTGTGTTGATGAGTTTTTTACTATTATCAAGTGTTGTCATGTGTATGAATTTTATTAAATATTATATGATGTATTTCATCAAATTTGAAGGTTAGAAATGAATGTAATTAATTGTATTGAATTGTGTTATAATTACTTTTTATAATTAAAAAAAGATAAAATTACATCAAAGGTTTTTTAAGTTATATTTTTTTTCTTAATAGGTTGAGCCTTTAATTTTTTTTGTAACACTTTGATTATTTAGGATGTTTTCTACCTCCTTTTTTTCACATTTTGAACATTTAGAAATAGGGGTGGCAAACGGACATGTCTGTCCCGTTTAGGTCTGCTCTGTAAAAGCCCACAAAGAAACGGACGGGGCAGCACGAACATTGTTGAGGACGCGGACTAAAATCTATTCCCGTCCCTAAGAAATGTGAGGGCGGGGCGAGAAAAGTCTGCGGGCACTACACCTTTTAAGTCTAAAAATACAAAAATTTATGTAAATGCACGTGTCCACAAAAACCCGCGAAGAAAACAGGGCGGGGCGGGGGCGAATACATAAGAGGGTGAGTGCAGGAAAAACGAACATGCCTCACAAGCCGGACCCGTTTTACCACCCCTATTTAGAAATGTTGATTGTTGTATTACTGATTACACTTCATCATTTTTATACTACTCAAAATAATTACATATATAATTATCACTTTTTCTCTGTTTAAAAAAGATAATGATGCACACATAATAATTTAAAAGACCAAGTTGTTGTAAAATTTTTTTAAAGGACCAATCTGTTACAAACAAATAACTTAAAGGACCTCTGATATATTTTTGCCTAAACGAAGAGGATTTCTTTTTCTACCCTATAGTTTTCTAGCGCACCGGGTGAAATTTCAAAAATGCCCCTTAAAATCAGAAATTTATTTTTGATACGCACCTTGCTCAGGCATATATGGTATATAAAAGGGGTACAAATCGAAAATACACCTCCGGTTGCAACCATAAATATGTTTTCGGTTGCACCTCAAACATACACAATGGCCTGACCTTGGAATCCAAGCTCCAATCAAGACATGAATCAGAATTGAATTTACGGTGGCAATGGTTTGTGTTCAGACTTAAAGGCATGCTGCCTTTCTCTCCCCTTTACATTTTCAAACACAAAAAACACACAAAATACCTATTCCTAGTTGCGGATGCTCCAGAAAACCCACCGAGGTCAGCTCATCAGGAAATTCTAGAGGAGGAGCAGGTTAGAGCCTATCATGCCATTGGTGTGTTGCTTAGGTGCCATCATATCATGGAGATCGCGCATGCGGGTATTGATGGAGGTTTGTTTCTCGATGAATTCGATGTTAGAGGTGTCCTGGATGCCATAATGGCAGAGGTTCAGGAGGCTCTGCTTTTCAGGAAGCAGCGGAGAAATGTTGGAAGGGTGACAGGCCGACTCAGAGTCTGTCATACTCAGTAGTCTTTTTTGTTGTATATGTATTTTGGTTATCATTTTTTGATTGTATTTGGATAATATTTTGGGTTATCCCCTATATTGACTACGAGCATCTTTTGTACTATTTACTGCTATCTATTTATATATATCTTTGTAGTATGCTTTATTGTATACGTATTTGTATTCAATGCGAAACAACGCACAAAAATATTCACTACTAGCATAAGTGTTTCTGGTACTGTCTGTATAGAAATCAGAAATACATTGCCGATTCTCTTTGCAAATGTATTTTCGGTTTCTAGTCAAGGTTTAACAGAAAAAAGTGTGCACCAGAAATATATTTCCGATTTCCAAGGATTTCCAAGGGACACTTTAGAAAATGTGTAGGATATTTCTTTACACTATAGGGTTGAAAAATAAATTCTCAATTTTTTTAATCAATTTTGTTCATTTGAAACATATAACCCGCGAATCCAAACCAACCCAACCCATAAATTAAAGAGTCTGTTTGAGTCGGTTTTGAATGTGAAATTGTGAGTTGGACAATGAACCAGATTCATTGAAATTTAAATGAATCGAATAGCTAATTAAGTCAAACCCGCTCCATTCCAACTCGTGCACACTCCTATAAATAGGCTAGATTTTCAACCAAACATAACAATGACAACATTACCATGTAAGAATTCATCCATCTAGTCGATTACAATGTTAATTAAATAGTTAAACAAGTATTAAATAAGATCGAATTCAATGTGAGATACATAAATAAATAATGACTTACTATCCTAAACACTCCAAATTGTCTGAACTGTTGGGAGATATTGGGAGATAATGAGATGTCGATCACCAAAAACATTGTATGATGTCTCACATAAATAGAAAACCCGACAAAGAACAGAGGTTTGAAAATTAGGTTATTTTGAGTTCTTTAACAAATAACTATTTTTTGTGGTTCCCAAAACTTAAAAGGACAATTCAATTCAACTAACCCCACCATCTCCCTCTCACACCAAACATCTTTTCCTTTTTGTTTGAAACAAATATCTCATTGGTTTTCAAGAACAACCTCGTAGATGTTGAACTTCATGGTTCAATGATGTAGGGTAAGACAATAACACAACCATGAAGTAATGCTCTTTCGCTACTGTCCACCATATGTTAGTTGGAAATCCTCAACTAGACATCTTTTATATTGAGTAGGGGAAAAGCACAATTTTGTATTGTTCAATAATTTTTACTCAAATATGAGGTTTATATTGTCCATTTCGTAGGTTCCATTATTGTCTTGATGGTAAGGATAAGAGCAAGATTATTTCTCGTATGGTGTCTGTAAAGGGAAATCGCTATTCAAAATGCAGCAGAAAACAAATTTTTTCCCTTTAGTAGATCCTTACGAATGATGCACGATCAACGATACAATAATTACCTCTTGTGGAGATTACCACCTTTGATGCATAATCAAAGGAATGATCACGAGTGTTTGTCGCAGCGAAAAAATACTCGAGCGAATGAACGCTCGAAATTCGATTAATTCGCCATCAAAGTTTATTTTTAAAAGAGAAAACATTGATAAATCCCTAAAAGAACAAAAATATGGTTATCACAATCAAATTTAGGTTCGGGAGTCGATTATGCGTGAAGAAGATATTAGGACCATTGATGTGGCCTTAGACCAACAATTATTTGATAATCATGTGTTTAGGTTCGAAAGAACCAATGACGTGACCTTAAACCAACAATTATTTGATGATCACATATGTGTTTAAGTTCAAAAGAACCAGTGACGTAGCCTTACACCGACAATTATTTGATGATGATGATGATGTGTTTAGGTTCGAAAGAATTAGTGACGTGTAGGACTTATATCCAGTGATGAGGATTGTGGTTGGAGGATTGTGGGTGTCGATTTTCATTGTTTGTAGCATTCATGCATCATGTATTTTGAGTTAGGTAGGACTTTAGTTCAGTGACGAGTAGGACTTCAGTCCAGTGACGAGTAAGACTTTGGTCCAAGTGATGAGTTGGATGCTTCAGTAACACACCTCTGAATATCCAAATTATTGGTACCATGTGCATGTGAGTATAAGATATGACTAAATTACATGCATAATTGCATATGTTGACTAACTAATGTTGTTGTTGGATTGTATTATTTGTTTTGACTGTAATAATTCATACTATCCATTCTGTTTTATGCACCTTTAACATATGGATTCTCACCCCTTTCTGTTTATGTGTCGTTCTATACACCTGTTATGCAGATACTCAGGTAGAGACTGAGAATAATTAACTATTACTTGTTTTAGAGGATGGCACAATTGGCCTCTTTTCTGCATTTATATTTGCGATGTTTGCCATACCTTTCTCAACTGCTTAGTTTTCGTTGTGTGTCTCTGATAACATAACACTAGGTTCAGAATACCTTATTTGTTTCAGCGAGTTATTTAATAGAAAGTTTCATAAATCATACCTGGGTTTAGGGTTTTACTTAGTTGGTATTAGAGCAGGCCAGTCCATTCGGCCTCAAATTTTGTGAAATTGTGTGTACCCTGGTGTACGACAAGTGTGTGAACAATGACGATGCTTATTTTCCCTAACCGCTATCCAGTAGAAGCGGGAATGAAACAAGTGGGGGAGGCGTTTTTGCTTTACTGGGACATTTCCATTGTGGAAAACTAGAACATTATGTGGATGATTGAAAGAGTGCATTTCTATCTTGTTTCAACAGTGGAGAGCAGGGTCATATCAGCACCCAGTTCCAGAAGTCGAATAGAGTGCTAATGTTGTTGGTTAAGAAGATAGATGAGAGAATGAGGTAGTGTGTGGATTATCGACAGTTAAATAAGGTTACTATTAAGAACAAGTATCCTCTTT